ATACACCAAAAAACACACCGACGTTTGTGGTTGTATTATCAGATGTAAAAAATAAATAAATAAAAAAGTTGACAGATTTTAAATGGTTTGGGAAAAAAAGAGAGCAGATCCACTTTAAAAAATTGAGTTAATTTGTTACATGTAGTCAAATTAAGTTAGCTAAACTTACTTTATTTATGTTTATTTAGCATGACAACTTAATAAAGCTAATGTCTTTACTGGCATAAACTTGATTTGATTAACTCAATATTTCAAGTTAACTCACCCGTCTTTCAGTGGATGTAATGCTTCACCTGAGCTTTTAGACCTTTACACTGTGATAAGATGTGTTGTATCTTTGTTGTTGGGCTGATCGTCTTCTGTTCTTGTGGTTCGAAGCTCTAGCTGTTCATAAGGAAACTTGGTCAAATCCTACGTTTGTCGTTAAGTCACTCAGGTTACACAGAGTTTTTCCTTCCTGCTGCAGGACATGGACGCAGTTCTGAGGCAGGTCAGAGAAGAAGACGAGGGACAATCTCAGAAAAAACCCAAAGATAAGGTGAGGTTCTGCCTGTTGAACCCAAAAAAAGATCTAATTTTGATTCAAATACTTAAACACAACATGGGATAGCATCTGAAAAGCTCAGCTGGTGTATAAAAGGAATATTTCAAACATTTTCAAAAGTCATTCCTTTGTCATTCAGCAGTGATATTTGAGTAAAAAATAAAATGAGACTGTTTGAAAATGATGAACAGCATCTAAATCTTTTGGTTCCTGCAGAAGGGAATCATGTTTGAAATCCGGCTGGATGAAGAAGAAAAAGAAGAAGAAACAAAGGAGGAGAGGAAAAACGAACAGAAGCAGGTAGAAAAACTGAAACAAAGTCATTTTCGCTACATGTCTTCAGTTTTCTTCTCCTCTAACCAAACAGGAAGTGGATCCTCTCAACCGTACGCTAAGCTTCCAGGAAGGGGAGGAGCTAAAGCTCAAAGACTGGTCAAAGGAGAGAAAGGGGTTGAGCCAAAGGACCCCTCAGACTCTGCTGGACGCCCTGGCCAACATGGCCGTCAGCTCTGCGTACAGCACAGCGGCTGAGCCTTCAGAAGGTGCAGCTCACACAGCGACTGACGTATCCCATGTGATTTTAAAGCTCCTCATGTCTGACACACGTTTGGCCCCCAGCAGGTCGCAGGCAGTGGACCAGCGGCCCCCCCAGCTCCCTGCTGGACGCGCTGGCTCAGGCCGAACTCACACCAGGTCTGCACACGGGTCAGGTCAAAACACCAACAGGCAGGAAACTGAAGGCTAAAGACATTCACTGAACGTTGAACACTGAACTGTTTGTCCTCTATGAAGCCATGACGGAGGGAGAGGAGGAGACGGGAAAACGAGAGGAAGAGGAAGAGGAGGAAAAGGACTCGGATATAGAGATGGATGAAGAGCATCTGGAGTCGAGGTCTGATGATGATGACACGTGAGTTCATGCTTTAACTTCACTCTGAACCCAGATTGGTACAAACCACATATTTGTTTTAAAAGAGAGACAGCAAATACAAATTAAAGGTCACCTTAAGGCTGAACAATAAACATGTTTGTTACATTTTTTGCAAAAAACCCCCCCAAAACAACTATTATAATGAGATTTCAGTTAATCAGAATGAGGTGGTTTAGGTCTCTGTCACTTTAAATCCAAATGAGCTGCTGCTGGCCACACCCCCCAAATTCAACGTTTACACTCACTGCAAACAGATGCTCAATTATACAACCATGCGTCTTTGAAAAGTATTAGTAGAGCGTAGTGCACAAACAAAATGCACACAGCATTTTCATAACAACTGCAGTTAACAGTTACTTGATGATGCTATAAAATGATGCCGTGTGCCTGAAAAATGAATTCTGAATCTTTTAAATATAACAAAGGGAAGGTAAATGTAGGACTGATGTCGTGTTTTTCTTCAGGAACTTTGAGGAGTCGGAGGACGAGCTGAGAGACGCCGTGGCGGACTCCATGAGGAACCTTTACGTCATGGAGGACTCGAGCCCTGGAGAAAACACGCCGGAGGACGGCGAAGAAGAGGAGAGGAAGGACGGAGGAGCAGACGGCTCTTCAGGTCAACAAGCCCAAGCAGAGGTCAGCGGTTCAGAGTGTGAAGGCTCACCAAGTGGGTGTTTCTAGTAAACCTGAAGGGCCCCAGACTGACAAGAGCATCAGGCTGAAATGATTCAGTGGTTTGTTAACAGATGGATTATTCTGAATGAACTCCCTTTAAAAGTGTGAAAGAGGTGAAAGTTTTCACTCTGAAGTTTACATAGGGAGGGTTGAGTAAGCAGCAGTCCACAGTGGTATGACTCATGAAGCCTTGGCTACATATTCATGGTTTACATCTGGACTAAAATGGTTGGCTAGCCTGATTTTAAGTGCACAGTAATATAAATGTAGTTTTAAGAATGTAAAACATCTTTATTTACTTAAAAAAATAAATTAATTTAACAAAAAAAAGTGGCCTACCTGTCATTTAGTTTTCCAACATCACCTCTGATACCAAACACAAAGGGAGACACTGAATGTAACCATGACAGTCAGTCAGATTGTGAAATATACGTCTACATTTCATGTACAGCACTTTTCAAATGATTTCTGACAACAAACATTGAGAGAAAATCAATGGCCACCTTTCAGTGGAATCAATTTTACAACTTTTCACTTGTTTGGACTTTTACCTCATACCTGTCATATTCATTTCTGTGTTCAAAGTTGATGTAAAACAGTTTATTTGTTGTTCTAAGGCAACCAGCAGAACACAACAGTGACAAAAGGAAAATATTATCATTATTTAGGTACAAATGTTAACATTCTCCAGTTTTGACCAGTACTGTTCTTTTGATGCATTCCTGTTTTTTTCCAGCAGTAACGTCTCTGGAGGACTTTATGCTAGCAAGTCGTGCAAAGGTTATGCAAAACCTAACAGCAGTGAATGGAAGCAGCCAAAAGTATCACTTTTATTCACATAATCAGTTTGCATTTTACTTCTGATAGTTTAGTTGCACTGAAGTAATTTAGCTATTTTTCCTAGAAGGTGACTTGTCACTCTAATTCTACAAATTCAGTAGTCGACCATTTGTTTATTTTGCTCAGACACTAAGAAGAAACAAGGCTGTACTGAAGCTAATTACTGGGATCATTTCAGAGAGTAAACACCTGCTCAAACTTTAATGGTCTGTTTACCGCCTGCTTGGTTCAGTTAAGGAAGATAAATCTGCCCTGTTGTTCACCTGTTTATTTTCTGAAATCATTTTTCCTGCAAAGTAAGAGTGTGCAGTTTATCATTTCATATACATAACACCAGTAACTGTGAAGTATTTGGCTTCAATGTATAATATTAAACTTCGGAGTGTACTTTGAGACTCTTACCACAAGGGGGCAGCACACAAGAGATTATCAGCTGCATCTCTTACTTTTCTTTTGCTTTTATTGTGTATTATTCAAGTGCAAGTTTCTCCAGAAATCTAAGCATCCTCTATACACAGACTTAAACAGCATCAATGCCTCTTTAAAACGAGGGTTTGTAATATACCTTTTATTATATTATCATGCCCATCAAAAACAGGAATGCGAGGAGAGCAACAACATTCAGACATGGTAGATTTGGCCGTCACCTCAGATAAACCTTCATATTAAATATAACTATAGAGATTACATGAAGCAGCAAAAAGAGAAAGCCTCTTAACCTCTAATGACAGAAAAATCATATTTAAATAACCCATTTAATTTCTTTAGAAGTCAGAAAAAATAATTCTCTTCAAAATCATGTCGGTACTGACAGTATAACCCAGAACGAAACTCAGGAAAATCTCCGTTTTGCAGTTCCTATAATTCTCCCCAGATTAGTTGACAGTGAGTCTAATCCAAGTCCAGCTTAGTAAAAACAGAAACACTGGAAGCAAAGGGGAAACTAAACGCCTCGTTGCATAAACCAAGTCTGATTGACCCACATCCTGAAGTCAGGACGTGTGAGAACCAGATGATTGACAAATCAAACGACCGCAAAAACTTTCATTCATCTCTGAGTCAAATATCAAGATGATCCTCTTTAAATCTGACCATAAACATTTATCAGTTTCAACTACAACCTGGATTATCGTTCAATCAGTTCAGGAAACACACATCCACATACGGACCTCTTTAGCCTGGAACACGGCGTCATTCATACGACCCAAAGGCATTTTTACATATCAGTAACAGTCGCTGGGAATGTTTAGGTTTTTTCTCCTCAGTCTGTACAGAGCGGAGATTTTTATCTGGTTGAAAATCTGGAGAGCAAGCAGAGAAATTTGACTAATGTAGAAATGTCTTATTTCCTGGTAAGTAAGCTAATAATGAGGCGCTGTGTTGCGCTTTAACTGTTAGCTTAGCTTGTTTTAAACGGAATTAGATCACTGCCCAGTGATATTAGTGTAACTTACACTAATATCACTGAGAAGAAGAATGCACCTCTCCTGAGTTACACCTCAGGACAGGTGCATTCTTCCTGAGCTGCTTCTTCTGTTTTCGGATTCCAGCCTGCTAGCTTTCTGCTCAGACGGCCGTCTCTAGTCCCAGTTGGACACCAGGTCTCCTTCGCTCGTCCTCACCGCACCAGCTGACTCATCAGAGCCTCCGTGGCGGCGAGGAAACAAGCTTCGAACTCCTGGTCTGAGAACCGACCCACAGATTCCCGCGCTGCGCGTTTTATCTCCAGCCTAGCCGAAGGCGTCAGTGCCAGGATGATTTCCATGGCCGCGGCGTAGCTGTCCTCGCTGTCCGCCAGGAAGCCCGTCTGCCTGCCCTCGTGCGGCACCACGATGTCCAGCTTCGGGCCGCCTGACTTGTGGGCGAGGACGATGGTTCCCGCGGCCATGCACTCCACCACTCCTGGAACGACAGAGACAGGATGGACGTCTAAACCATGAAACCCGACGTACCCTTCAAAATAATAGCATGAAATTATTTAAAGAGAAATCAGGGTTTCTGCAGGTTTCACCAACTCAAATGTAAGACTTTTTAAGACCATCACAAATGGAATTTAAGACCTTTATCACCACAGAAATGTGCAAACATCGTCTAGCCAAAGATGCAATCAAGTTAGCTTGCTAGCAAGTGTATATTAGCAGCTAGTTAGCGGGGTTAGCGCAATAAAGATGTCTGCTTTTGCCTGACAGAAAAGTCCTGCAAATACACAGAATATACAAGATTAACTCGTTCAGCCAAGACAAAATTTAAGACTTGTGATGAATTATTTAAGGCCAACTTACTTTTTAAAGGAATTTCAAGGTCTTAATTTTAGGTACATGAATTTAAGAGTTTTTAAGGATGACAACCTGAGAAACATGCAACTCATGTACACTGAAAACAAATATGACTTGGGTAGTTATTATCCAAGTGAGGTAATCTAGATTTCTTCTGCTTTTGATGCATTTTGCTTGGAATCTTTATTTCCTCACTATTACTTCAGAATAAAATCCTGACATGGAGAAACTATAAAAATTCAGAAGTCAAATCAGATTAAATAACCTTAAATAATCTGAAAAGATTAATCAAATTGTGATAAATTGATTATTGAAATAATTGTCAAATACTTTAATCTCAGTCTGAGAATACAGACTCAAAGAGCAGGAACTAATTCCTGGAAATCTCTTATTTAGACATTTTTGTTACCAATTGGTTCATGTAAACGATAATCACCAGATCATCCCTCCACCAACCTCTCCAGTCTTTAGACGTGTATCAAATACTCATTTCCCCCCATGGTAACAGAGACATGGCCGTTTCTCGTGTTCTCACCGATGCCGAAGTGTTCGTTCCACATGGTGTGCAGGCCGATGGTGGCGCTCACCAGCTCCCTCTTCAGCTCGTCGAAGGGAACGTTGAGCTTGAAGTCGACGCGGTCGGAGACGCCGAGCTCCTGACAGAGGCCCCGCAGCATCAGCACCCGGTCCTCGTCTTCCTGGTTCCTGCAGCCGCCAATCAGCACCAGCCGCAGCGCCTCCCGGCCCCCGGGCCCGTCCCCCTTCCTGTCCAGCAGCTTGGCAAACGCTCTGATTTGCAGCAGGTGGTCCTTCTCCGGCCTGAACTGACCCACGGACACAATGGACTGGCACTTCGTGTCTCCTCCCGCTCTTCCTCTCCCGTCCTCTTCGCCCCCCAGCTCCTCCCAGTCCTCCTCCAGCTCGTCTTCGTCCTCCTCCCCCTCCAGCGGGACGTCCAGGAAGGCCCTGACGTCGCACGGCGGGTACACCACGCTGGTGCGGCCAGGGCAGCGCCACAGGGCCAGGATGTGCCCCAGCGTCCAGGTGGAGTTCACCATGACGACGTCGCTGCAGGAGCCGGCCAGGCCATAGAGCAGAGCAAAGAGGCAGTAGTACAGCACCTTCACGGCGCTCAGGACCGGGTTTCTGGAGATGAAGTCCGCGTTGTTGAACCTGAAGTTAAAGGTTTGGGGGAAAATATGTTAAAGTTTCTGCTAAGAATCAGAGAACGCTTCATTAAAGGGGCAGTATGCTGTATTTTCCAGCCACATGGAATCATTTTATAGCGCAATCAAGTAACTATGTTACCTTCCTATATATAAAATATGACTTAAAAGAAATTTGGCTGTAATTTAAGGCCTCTGTCTCTTTAAGAAGCTCCAGCTCTTTCTAAACTGAAAGAGCTAAAAACAGCATGATTTATTTTTTTTGCCTTAAAAGAAACTTGAAATTTAAAATTTAAAAAATGGTAAATTAAAAAAAAAAAAAAACTGACGGGATGATCGGAAATGTTACTTTTGACATTTCTGCACTACTTCTTCCATGAGAGCATCGATAAATATCAATAAATTTGAAAATATGACTAAATACAGTTACTGTGTGCAGCTTGTTGATATTAACCATTTTTTAACACTGTTTCAAATTAATGTTTTTCAAGAACAATGTGTGGTTTTATGACTGATGTGTCATTCATTCACACCCATAGAGTTTTCTTGAAAATAAGCAATAAATAGTTTTTAGGAGGAGTTTTGTTACGAAGGCGGAGCTGCATCCACCCGTGGCAGCTGAATGGTTGCTACGGGAGACTAAAGGATTTCCCAAACATTCATGAAGGAATCAAAGTGACACTCCAGGTGTGTTTTTGATGAGGGAACAAGATTAAAACTTGATGTAAAGCTGAACGGTGAGCTTTACCTGGGGTTCCTCTCTCTGACCACAGTCAACATGTCCGTGCTCACGGTGGGATAGTGGACGTAGCTCGCCACCTTGCAGCTTCCCAAGTAGCGGAAGATTGGAAGCGTGAAGGCGTAGCCCATGGAGTCGACGTACAGGTCAGGAACAAAAGCTGTGAGAGCTTCCCACCCTAAAACACACACACACACACACACTCTCCTCTGTTAGCTGCTTTATCTTACCAAGAAGAAGAAAAACCCCCAAAGATCCAGAAAGGCCTACGCTTGTAGAAGCACAGGTTACTAGTCGATTGACCTAAAACTGAGCCGTGGATCTTTTTACTTTTTCTAAACTCTTAACACTCAGCGCGTTTCATGTTCATGTCTTACCGAGGAACATGGAGCCCAGGCTCTGTCCCAGCAGGGTGAAGTGAGGGTACGAAGCGGCCTCCACCAGGCCGCGGTGACGCAGGAAGATGAAGGTGACGGGTCGGGGTAGAGTTATGTTGAAACGCTGCCGCGCCCCCTCCAGGACCTGCTCACCAGTCACTCCCTTATCCCCCGTGTACACCACAAAGGAGACATTGGGGTATCTGGAATAATGGGGAGGCAATGGTTGCCATAAGTTCTCCATTTTTAGGTTTTAAAATATTTAAAAAAGGAAGATGAAGGAAGACAGCAGACGGGTCAGGGAGAAGGTTCTGGAGAAGTTTAAAGCAGAGTTATCTTATCAGAGATCTGTTCAACCCATCGTCTAAAAAAGTTAGGTATATGGCACAACCACAAACCTATCAAGCATCAGTTACCAGGGCAACTGTCAGGCAAGCTCTCCATTCACTGACTTTAATGGAAGAAAACCTTTGAGGAAAAAAACCCATCAGCAAACGCCTGAAGGAAAGCGCTCTGATAAAAATGAGATCATAACGAAATGTTTTGACTCCATGAAGGTATGGGTGGGCATTTATCGTATCGTTTATCAATTATCGCAATAAATTTCTTAGAAGAATTTATTGATATGATAAATTCCAATTAATGATGTTTAAAATGAAATAAAACTATCCATATTGTCGAGATCAATTTTACTATATTTTCCACTGCTTGTTCAATGAGAGCATTAATACATAATACATTTGGAAATATGATTAAATGCAGTTTAGATTTAATTTCTCACTAGTGTCCTAAAGAAACTTTACAAATGGGAATGTTTTCTAGTGCAGCATTTGTGTTTCTCTATAATATATATAAATACCTAAAAAATAAGTAATCTCATCATTTTTATCGTACAATAAAATATCAGGATAAATTTTAAGTCCATGTGGACCACCCCTATATATGGAGGTTGAAAACTGGACATTACTGAGGTCTAAAATAGATTATTATACTCAAACAGGATTATGGGATCATGAGGTGCTGTGTCGCAGAGGGCCACGTCGACAGGCAGGTCACCGAGACCTGACGCCTGTTTGCTCTTATCTCCAGTTGTGTAAATAATTAAACCTTTGCTTTTTAAAGGTTTCTCGGTTATCTAGTGGCCTCTTATTGAACAGCAGACAAACAGGCACTAGAGAGAAGCGAGAGGAAAGACCGGGACTCGAACTCGGGACAACCGCATCGAGGACTGTAGCCTCTGAACACGGTGCCAGCTGAGCCACCTGAAACCTTTAATTCAGGTTCCTGTCAGTGACAGCACGGAGCAGATGTTATTTAGAGAAAAGGATGTGGCTGGGCTTTATTCCGGAGCGCTGGGTTACCGGTTCATGAGGGCCCTCAGGGAGCACCAGAGCACCCGCTCCCCGCCTCCTCCTGCGTTGCAGTACGGGTGGAAGAAAGCCACAGCCGGGCCGCCGTCCTGAGCGCGGCGGGTCTTGCGGCGACCCTGCAACCAGACGCGGAGCCCCAGCAGAACCAGGAGCAGCAGCAGGGTCAGGGCCAGGCTGAGGTAGACGCAGGGCATCACCAGGGACCACAGCAACCTGCGGCGGAGGGAGACGGAGAGCTGAGAGCAGGGCGGAAGGAGTTCACCTGGAACCTGTTTCAGTTTGACGTTAGCCTGCTACATGCTAGGCTAATCTTAGCACTGTCCCCTCAATTAAATTTTAAGCAGAACATGAATGCATTTCTCTCCGACACTTTCCTTCTATATGTTTGGTAAAAAACACAGCATATGTACCTCATCAAGTCGCAGAAGCACAGAGAGAAGTGGTGGTGGTGGTGATGTTCGTGTCCTGCCATTTTGTCAACACAGCTTCTGACGTGACGCCACAACCTGTCAGCTGACCCAGCCTCCGCTCTCTGATTGGCTCAGCGTTTTGTTTACCTGCACGTCATCAACATGTGATAGACTACTACTGCCCTCCGAGGGAAGCAAGCTGTGGTTCACGGCTGTGTGTTCAACAGTTTTTATGTACGTCACTACATTCAATTAATTCAGAAGCAAAAGACTGAAAGAAAGAAAAACAAATCACACTTAACAACCGCTTTAAAAGTGTCGCAATCTAGAAATGATGTGACGAAAAAGGGAACCTCCATCCTTGGTGCATTTCTTAACGTGAACCGGTGGGTCATCCAGGAAGCGGCCTATCAGAGTGACCTGCGCTTATGACGTCATTAAAAAAACTGTCAGTTATATTCCAAAGAGTCATTAAATGTCGCTATTCATATCATCAAAGTGTCTTAAGAGTGGTTGTGGCTGGTGGCCAAGAAGGATCTCCAGTAGCAGTCAGTTTTGCAACCCATCTGAAGAGGCCTCTGACATTCATGCGGTCAGGAGATGTTGGAGTACTACCGTGTATTTGAAAAGTGAATGCAAATTAGCACTAATAACGCCTGAAACTCCAAGGATTACATATTATTATATCTTGCCAAAACTGAATGTTGTGCAACTGAACCGTTGACAGTTTCATCTGCTAGAACTTTTTCCATCAATATTAAGGAATTACTAACTTAAAACAAGCTCCTATATATTGCTGAAAAGTTACTTTTAAGTAATTTTTTTCTTATTTCACATGTACAACGACATAGGTCAAAATACTTGGTAAGATTTTGTATTTTTACAGTGAACATGGCGAATTTACTATTTTCTAGTTTTGTTTCAGTTTTACTCAGAGAATTAAACACCAGTGTACAATACAGAAACATAACACACTGCAATCATAAATACCTATTTGGCTTTTTTGACCTAAAAGAAAGAAAAAAAAATCACTGGCAGTTTTTTTAACCTTTCTGTTCCCACGGTTACAATCATGTCATTATTCATCTATTCACCAGTAGATGACACAAACTCACACTTCCTTCCCTAGATCCGCCCAGTTGTGCGTAATTCATCTAAAGTTTCATCTAACCATTCTTTGTTTCTGTTTATCTTTTTTTATTATTATTTGTTTTATAATTAAGATGTAATTCACACTGTTGCTTTTTCAGATTTCTGCACAGATGCCATCCGTTTAGATGGGACAACATTTTATTTCCATGAAACTGAAATAAAATGTTTGGTGATGTTTCACCAGCCAGATGCCAAACCCACGTGGCAACAAGGAAATAAAATGCTAGTATTACTCAAAAAAAAAAATTTTAATATTGTATGCAAATGCAGTATTGGAGGATAATTTCGTTCCATGTTTTTGAATAACTTATTCACATGTGATTTTAACTGCATTTCTTATTCAATGCAAACTCTGCAATTGGGACTTTAGTGAAATATCGACAAAGTTTTGTGCCCATTTGTAATGGAAATAATGCAGAATGATTTATTCCAAGCATGCATTTCTTGTATGACTTGCGGGAAATGAAAACCCAAAATTCACTAAGACAATCTATCAAAGCAACCTGGGCTTCATTACACCTGGTCCCCTCCACGCCACACTGATGCAGCAAATCCTGCAAAAAGAAGCTCCAGCCTGGCACTGAGAGCAGAGAAATGTACAAACCTTTCAGAAGGCTGACATTTTTCCTCAAGACATCGGTTTTCATTGATCAAATGTGACGTTTTAGGTTTTTGAGACACTGAAAGTTTGGGATTTATTTACCTATAAGCCATAATCATTAAAAATAATAATAAAAAAAAAGCTTGATCTATTTTACTCTGTGTGTTATGAATCTCTATAAAACAACCATTTCCCTTTCTGAAATGACAGGCAAGAAATATTCCACCTTCTATTCGGCCAGTCATGATGAATTCTGCTGGACAATAAATCGTAAGAGAAGTTATCGCAATAAACGATAATATTGTTTTTGAGACCATTTTCAAGTAATGAAAGGTAAAGGCATAATAATGCAAGAACACATTATCAAAGATCACAGAATGTTAAATTCTAATGAAAACTTACTGGAAAATATTGTAAATATCCCAAATAAAACAGGAACAACAAATTAAATGAATTATGGAGTCTCTGTAAACAAAACTGTCCTTCAAAAAATGAGACCAAAACACCAGACTGAAGACTTTTATCATCCAGTTTTTGGTAGAAACAGAGAAAAAAGAAAAACGATAAATCGTGCAAATGAAAATAATCGAGTTCATTTTAATTTATCACGATTCTATGATTTATTGCGACAGGCCTACGCCGTTTTTTACACAACGTTCTACTTTTCAGACATGGACCAGCAGTGAGATGTTGTCACCAGAGCCCCACGAAACCGACTGCGGAGGTCACCTGAACTCGCAAGCTCGCGCGCATTGCCATATAAAGACAAAAGCTCTTTGATTCCTGTTTCTAAAGTGCCACATGTCACTTCCTTCCTCGTAGATTTGAATAGATGAGTCGAGGCCCCTTCAGACCGAGCCGATTCAGAGCGCTGCCTGTCGAGCGGTGAGCAGCAACAGCAGCCGGACGGACGGACAGAAAAAAAGCACCCGCTTCACCTTCCAACCCCCTCGCCTCGTCTCTCAGGTAAGGCGGCGGAGGTTGGATCAGGTTCGCCTCGCATCCGTTTGTGCGTCTGCTCAGGTATCAGGTGAATTTAGAGGAAGTAACTCCTCTGATGAAAAGGCAAATGAAAAGGCAAAGAAGGGGGAAACTAGAGTCTCTGTGACTTTCTGCAATCCTTACCCTGACTTTCTGCACAATTAGTTATTTTTGCTTTAATATTTTTGAAGAAACTGCCGTCATGCACAACAAGATGCACTGGAAAACTGCTCAGCGACTAAATCATATTAAATGATTCAGCAGCTGCTCATGTACAAGTAAGAAGACGAGGGCAGATGGAGGTCTAAGACGAGAGGAAGGAGCAGCTTGAAGCGCTGCAGTTAGCAAGAAAGGAAGTTTGTGGTTAGCCTCGCATCAACTGAAAAAAAAGGAAAAAAAACTGTCTGAGGCAGCGTGGGCCTACAAGAAACCTCGGCATTATATTTATGATTAATAAGCCTTCTTTTTTCTTATAAGATGACCTAACCCAGGGATGCGTAAACACGTGTGTGACACGGGTCTGCGAGCTGCTCTGCTGTAATCCATGCAGTTTTCTGCACACTGAACCTCTGCTGATGGCTAACATGCAGATTCAAATATTTATTTATTTATTTCTGCAAAAACGGTGCAAAAAAGAGTGAAGATGGAAGTCATTTTCCCCTTTCTTGCATTTTCACTGACATGTTAAGATGCAGACAGGAAGCAGGTTAAAGAAATAAAGTGCAAAGTGTTAGCCGCGGTCTGAGGCAGGAGAGGTGTCACGTAGACACAAAACAGACTCTGAAAAGTCACATTTGTTTGAAATAAATAAATAAAAAAAATCACCTAAAATTCAAGAGACATCTCATTTGAGACTTATGTTTTCTTCTTCTGTGGTACATCAGTGGAGTTTACAAATGTTAGCTCCCCCTGCTGCCTGCTCCTTTAAAAAACAAAACCTATAATTGAAAAATTATTTAAAAGCACAATTGTCTCAATCAAAGAGGTCGTCCAAACAATGTGGGTGTTATTTTATTGTAATGTTGATCTAAGGGAGTGTTATTAGTCACTTTTTATTCAGTTTCACGGAAAAACGTTTGTGTCTTGAGTCAAATATTCTTGGAGACGAGCACCAACGTCAAAATACATAAATGCCTGATTTGAAGTAACATCTACCTCCTGTGAACATGCAAACTAACTGTATAAATCTAAAATCTGAGCTCCTGCAACCTGTTAGCGTTTTAGCATCAAACTGTTATTAAATATAGAAAATTCAAAACACGGGACATGCCTCCTGAGATAAACTTTAACCTTTTACGTTTCTGACTTCATGAAAAACTGTCTTCAGCAGAAATAGCCAAACAAACTTCTGATTATAACATAACATGCTCATGTTTGGGGTTTTGCATGCAGAGAGAGGAGATGCAGCAGGAATATGTTTTTTAACATAAAGGTGTGAACATAAAAAAACAAAAGGTGTGAATTTCCTGCAGAATGGCAGAGAAGCTCTGCAGAATAACTACGATTCTTAGCAACACAGGAAGGAAGTTTTAAGAAGCAATGTGAGCAGATGCTTTTAAGAGCTGATAGAAATCTGTACAGGCTGCGCTGCATGTAAAAACGGGAGATAAACGGCAGAGAAGCCATAATTGGTAACAAATCTCACACTTTAAATGTCAGGCAGTCGTCTACCGTTTTGGCAACACATTAAAAGTCAGTGAGAAAACGGCAGAAAAACTGGTCAGGTTTGCAGTTCGGCAGAGTCAAGTTTCATTTCTGCTTCCAATCTGCTGTCCGCTGCAAGAAACAACTTCCCCGTTTTCACTGACTCGACGTCTCATTTTATATCATTTACTTTTCTTTTACTTAAACATCTACCTGTGCACAAACTCAGACTGCACCGGAAAGCACGTGACTAAAAAGCAACTGGACTTCACCATATTTGTAATCCTATAATGACTAGTTCTCTTTATTTTGTCATTTTAGCATCTTGCTAACTCATGTTATACACTATTATGTCTCTTACAATACAATAAAGTCAACAGCAGCTTCTCTGACAGCGATGTTTTAACAGGATATCGTTTCAACAGATAGAAGCACTTCCTCTTACTGATCTAAAATCAGTTCTGTTTGTGTGAACCATCCAAGCTGTCTCTAAAGAACGGCTTAACTGAGAATTAAAATATGAGCAACCCCTTCAAGGGTGAAGTAATTTAATATTTCACCGTCTTTTTTTTTTTTTAATTGTTTCATCATCAAGCTCGTCCTTCACTGCAAAGGAGCAGGAAGTTAAATCACTGACACCTAACGAGCTCGAAGTTGATTCTTTTGTGGTTTAAAATGTCCTGCAAACTGCCAAAAAAGGATCTGCGAACACGCCGACGCGTTCGGGGTGAATCATCACACCCTAAAATAAAATGTCCTTCATGTCATATGATAATCGCTAAAGCAGA